AATCTGGTGTATACATAGATTTCACCACAATTTTCAGTCATGAAAATCTTGACTTGCAGGATCAGGCCACTAACATAGATCCAGCAACATTTTAATTACTTTAAGTTAGTATTACAAAGGGTGAACAAATCTTCACAGAGAAAGGGATGGCAAGTTCTTGAGTCCAATTTTTTACTTCAAGGATTGCTTTTCAACATAAAAAGCTCAATTGATATCTAAATTTATTTTCAGATTATTTTGATCACTTTCTAAAGTAAACAAAATGCTGTAGTAAACGGAGGATAAAATGATATGGTTTTATACACAGTGAGATGCAGATGTAGCAAAGGTACTTGGCATGACACTGATTTTTCTTAGATGATTCTAGGTCTTCAACTTAAGAAAAACAAAACTATAAATTCTGAATGCAGGAGATAATGTAGCAAGATTTCGATGTAGGATAGTTTATTACCTAAACAGTATGTACAAATTCTAAACAAGAAAATAATGAGTAAAAGAAATCAGACTCTATTTACATTTACATTTTTTTACAAATTATTCTTTACAAGAAGTGTATTTTTTTTCTCTAAATAACAGGACAGACACATAAGACCAATCTGTTTGTATTACGTACATAAATAAATACTGACTTTAAATGAGTGTTATAGGAACATAATTTCTACAGCCAATTTGGGTAACAGAGAAGCAGTTCTGTTACCTCTACTACAATATAATTAAGTAAAAAGGAAAAGTTTTACATATAGAGCTCTGTTAATTACTTTGTAAATTGTACCTTCCTAATATATTCAGTAGAGGTAATACAGTCGTTACATTTCATGCCCACAACTGAACAATGAGTTTTGGCATGCAAAACCATATATAATCATCAACATCTGCAGGTATTCATTTACATTTTTTAAATAAAGGGTTTTCTTAATTATTTAAAACTACATGCAACAGCTTATTAGCATCATATTCCTGGTTACAATGCACAACTTTGCATAACATTATTTTTAGTAGTTGATGTTCACAGGTACTGATCAAAAAGGGTAGGAATATACTTGGCACATAGTATAGGAAAATGAATTAATAAATAAGTCAATATCACAACTACATTTACATATACACAAGACAAAAATAATTGTTTTATGGTGGTGTACACAGAATTTAGAACTGTCCGGGTCCCATACTTTGTTCTGTAAGGCCCTGATTTAAGAGAGTATTCAAGCAAATTTTGACATCCATGCTTTATTCAAGACATCACTAATGCTCTGCAAAGGTTCTTAACTGCAAAGGTTTACTTCTAACACACTGACTTCTTTTGGGGATATGGAAGTTTCCTCTTCTGCATACTTTCCTGAATCAGGGCCTGCCTATCTGAAACTCTCCCTGACTCCAGCTGGGAGCATGGAGATGAAAGTATTGTGGAATAAATTGGCTAGTATTTAGGTTTCTATATAGTTCTGCTAATGTCAACGGTAAAATTCCCATTCCCATTAACAATAAATGTTTCTCTGATTTTGTGTGTGACCATGCCAAACATTAATGTCAATGTTAGCATTGCCACACCATGTCCTTAGCTCTTCTTGAAGCCACTAAGTTGAGCATGTTCCAGCATCTCAGAAGTCTGACCTCTTATTTATTGTCTATGTATGTGCTATATTCTTAATGAATATTCAAGATGATACACATAGAAGTACGTCACAAGTTCTGTCTTATTTGAATTTCTCCTGCTCTATAAACAACTCAAAAATGGTCAAAAAAGTTATAACAAGAATAAACCATTCTCTTCTTAAACAAAAATCACCGATGAACAAAAAAAAAATCCACTTCACAAAACAGTTAGTTAGCAAAAATGCCATAATCTTATATTTCTCCTTTAAGAAATAAAGATACACAAAATGCATCCTGAAGTCAACTGACAAATCCATCAGAATCGTACATAGCAAATAATACATTAGTGTTAAAGGTGCAGAGTACCTAAAAACATCCCAATATCTATATTAACTCTTTAATACACAATATCATTAAAGAAAATAAGTCTTTAACTAGTGAATCAAGTAGTGAATTACAACTCTATTGCTGAACTAAATGTTTAATGTGACTTAGGCTAGTAAATTAGGACAATACCCTGTACAATTCAGCAAAAAAGGCTTCATGAATTAGGCACTAACAACTTCAAATCTGTACTCCTAAATTCAAAGAATAATCAGGAAATCGCTCATAGTTGGGAAATTAACACCCATTCATGAGCTTTGCTGACCTTGCATTTTTCATTTTTGATTTTGAGGGTGACTTGAAAGGTGAGTTGATAAGCTGATTTGTAGAAGGAAAAAAATAATTTACATTTTAGTGGACTCTATATAATACACTTGTTCAATACAATTCTGCTTTATCAACTTTTTTTTTTTTTTATTTCCAGAATCTCTCTTTAAAAGGGAAAATTCCTCCATGTTCTTCAAAAATACACTGCCACTTTTAAAAGTTGAATGCTTCAAAGAGACTGGCATCAGCACAGTAACCGTTTTGATTCATCTCAGAAGAATGAGGCTTCCCCTCAAGAACCAAGACTAAGGGTATGATCACTCAGGCCTGCTAACTTCCAGTTTATCTCCAAGCCAGATTTGGCATCATTGTAATAAGGACCGACATCCATGTTCTCTGCTTTACCAAGTCACTATGAATGAAACATAATTTCATTAACATTAATCAAGTCACTACAGATTTGCTCCAGCATAACTAGAATAGACTGCGATTGAAGGGTTTGGTTTTCAGGGAAGCCTGATGTCATTACTTTCCCTGCTCCCACCAACTCCTGCTCTCAGAGAATACCATGGAGATCACTTCTAGCCTTACCAATGCCCTGCGCAGTCTAAATGTCGAAGCAGTGGTGCACACGGGTCTGATTCAAATTGTGTTTTCTTTGTAAAGACCTGTACACAGGAAACATTTCCATCCTGACAAAAGTCTCTGAGACTCTGTCCTTCTGCCAAAATTGAAAATAAACCTTTATGCTACAGATCTTATGAAGAAGAGTTCACCTGTTTATTTGCCAATGTATTTTGGAAATGATAGAGGAAGAAATTAAAAGCACCATAGCCTTTAATATTTTTAAAACTATTGTTAAAGGCCCAAACCATGTAGCAATAGAATTTTTCTGGAAAAGTTCTTGGTTGCTCAGTGTATATCAAAAAAGAAAACAAGCAAAGTAGAAAGAGAATGGCAAAAAAGAGCCCTTTAAAAGCGATGGTAGAAATGTGGGAAAACTGGAATAAGCAAGTGATCAGAAATTAATTCAGTTTCCTTAACCCCCTATCAGACCACATGAAACAAAAAGCTATAAACTTTAGTATAGACAAACTATATTTGAATATTTTGTGAATACTATCATAAACATAACTCTGATCCTCAGTTTCAGCTATTTCTTTTCTCCATATTCAATTTCCACAAAACAGTTTGTCATCAAGAGAAGGAAAATATATTTACCACTAATGTCTGAGCTCCTCTCACTGAGTATCTCAGGCAAATATGAAATACAGGTGAGTCTGTAGCATCTGCTGGTAGAAAAAGCAGCCATCTTGTAAAGTTCGACTACTAAACATTTGAGCTCTGTTAGCCTCATCATATGGTGGTTCAGGAAGCAATGGAAACTGTGCTAAAGAATGCAGGAGCACTTTGAACATCTTGAACATGAGAAGCTGATTATGAGTATCTGTATGGACGTTTATTGGCAGATACTTTCCACCCTTTCGATAATAAATCCAAGCAGTTTCTGTTTACTATCGAAGGATGTCTCTCTGTGTGGCAAATTGTTCTAGACAGTTTATATTGCACAATAAGGCAATATGAATTCCCTTACGGTTAAAAAGGGCACCCTTCTGTCTAAATTTGAAAAATGCATTCAAATAAACTATAAGCCAATGTTTTCCAGATGCCAGAATATTGTCACATAATTCTTTCTCTAAGCAGAATAGCATGGGGCCAATACATCCACCCTCCTGTTCAAAAGATCCACGGGGAAAAGAGATACGTGCATCAAAATCCAAAGCCAAAAAGTAGCTCTTCAGCGACTTGAATACTAAATGCACCTCAGAATTTCAATTTTGAAAATATTCATGTTAACTATTAAGATTTTTAACTAGAAAATCAGTTTCTTTTCAAGATATTTTTATACCTTGAAATAATATATATCAAAAAATTGTAAGTGGGATTTTAAAAGTCATTCTTCCAGTCTCTATCAATCAGTTGTATTAATTGCCATAGATTTTCAACGATTCTATTAATTGCCATTTGTTCCTTTACAATGGTACATCTATGTTGTATATTTTTTAGCTATTAACTACATTAATAAAAGATCTACATGCTAAAACATTACCATTTCAGAACAGATGGATGATACAGATGTATCATCATTCTCCTCTGCGGTGATACTGCAATTATTAAATATCAGCTATTTTAGGGTTTCTGCTACTGGTATTTATTTTACTTATGTCCTTATTTCAGACATATGGAGATCTTTAACAGCAAAATACACCGGGACTTGAAACTGGTGGCAGGCAGAGCTTTAAGTAAAATACATCATTTAAACACACTGATGAGAACATGGCCTTCAGTGTTCAAAAGTATGTATACATCACAGGACAACCTTGCAAATATTAACACAGAGGTCACTAAGAGGAAAAGCTGCATACACTGCACCGTTTCAACCTACTTTAAACATAGAAATACAAAAACATTATAATGAACGCACTTTTCATTTTCTCACAGCTGTTGAGTTGGATGCAATCTTCAGTCTGCTGAGTAGTGGTGATACTGAAATTATACTTGCTGTATGTTTCATCCTGGCCTTGGTGCAAATACAATTCGTCAGGGCTAAACTACAGAAAAGTAGATACAGATCGTACAGGATGCTACTTCCACTGGAAAACTAGGCTCATTGCTCCTACAGATGTGCCTTTTCCTAGCCTCCATTTGGGAGCTCAGTTTTTCTCTCAGTTATTTGTATAATCATCTGAAACAGTCTAATATTTCTCTGGGGGTGGCTTGTAGTGATGTGGATGATGTTGCTTCAGATGAGGTCCTAAACAAAAGAATAGGAAAATATGCACATATCAAACCCTGAATATGTAACACCATTGTTTATCCGTACTAAAAAGTCTTCATGACGCCTTCACTTTGCAATCCTTCAGCTTGTAAGTGAACTGCCTGTGCCAACAGCTATGTGGCATGTTCAGTCAAGACAACTTTAGTGACTATAAAAGGGCAAAAGGATTCAAACAGATGAATCTTGGACTAATTCATTATATTTTTTGTTGAGCTTCACAACATTTAGCTGTACTTTTCAGAAACTTATAAAATGCTGGAAATGGCCATTAAGAAGTCTGCACTGCTTCAGAAATACGATCAGGCTCTAGCCATGCCAGACTGAATTTACGCAGAAAAATCTAATCTTGAAAGCTAAGCAACCCCAGGCCTAAGTAGTACTTGGAGGACAGACCATCTTTCAGACCGTAGTGCTATAGCCATAAACCAAAGAGCTGTGGTAGAATGAATGGCAAATGTCAGACCACAGAAAACGAGTGAGAGAAAGACTGCATTTGCTTCCATCATTGCTGATGAACAGTTATGCGGGGAAACAAACCCAATATTTTCACGCATCTGAAATTCACATAATGCTCCTGCAAGCAATAAAGACTGCAAAAGGCTCGAGCTAACTGTTTACATGTGGAGGGATGAAGTTCTGGAACACATAACCACATGTCAAAATGGGGTACTACTTACTGTGGGGTGAAAATGGAGGAAGGTCGGGTGTTCTGAATGATTTTATTGTAGCTGGCCCTTCCCCACCAGTTGTCAGCACTTGAACTTCCAAACGGTACAGCATCGATGGCCTCAGGTTGGGCACGGTAAGTACATAATGATCCTAAAAATAAATAAATTGCATTAATTCTCTGAGCATCTAAAAATAACACATAGTTGATCTACTTACACAAAGCAGTGGTTTAAACAGGTTGTGTCACCCCCAGCATCCTCAAATTTTCTTAGAAATGTGTTAATGCATTACTTTGTTGAGAGGGTTTGCTTTGAATTTTTTGCTTGCTGTTGCTTTTGAGCATACTTTTTTTTACCATAATGGAATGGTTTCATATGTAAGAAGTCTAAACTGTTCCTTAGTGTTCCTGAAAATGGATGATGTGCTCATCACTAAAAAAAAAAAGAAATTTAACTTCCTAACCATTCTTTTTAACAAACATATTCATTATATAAACTTGTTTTTATTTTGGATCTGTCTGTGAATTCTGCTAATGGGTAAATTAATTCAGGCAAATCACAGGTCTGCCCCCCTGCTGCAGCTAGTGAAAATAAGTGTGGCTAAACAGATTTCAGCATATTTGTTTCAATTACACCGTAAGAATCTGCCCTTCTGCTCCTAATCCAATCTTTGGCATGATTTTCACTGCTCCATACCTTGTGTGGCCACTTACACCTGTGTAAAATAATTTCAGAGTAAGTTTATAAATGCTTCCAAATGGGTACACATCTGAGTAAAGACTGAAGGGTATTAAGGAATCAAAAGTCCTGATTCACCTTATTCTAAGCTGAAAAGGACCGCTCCCAGGAAGGGGATGGTGGGGCAGTGATGCTGGACAGTGTGGGCATGGTGTGCTCCTGAGACCAGCCAGGCTGGGCCAGCCAGGAGTTTGCAGGGCAAGTTCCCCTCGCTGGCACTGCACCTCTCATGGTGTGGGGGGACCTAAGTGGTCTGTGGGAAAAACTGATAATTTGCTGTTACTGCCAGAGCAGACAGTAAAAGGGAAAGGAGAGAGAGAAAAGGTGGGGGAAAACGTGTCATTTTACTGCCAAATTAGCTCATATTCTGAGATGGGGCTGCTCTTAATAGACCTTGCTGAAGTTGTTCCACCTTGTATAACATACTGAATGGGTAGGGGAGGGAGAGGAGTGCATACATAGTGCTCATACACTCACTCTGCCCTTTCGGGTGCTCCTCCAGCAGTTGGGACCTGTGGGTTTCAGCCCTCATTGTGTAAATGTTAAACTTTTATCAGTCAGAGGCTACCAACGAGAATGAGTGAATGATCCCCACCATAAAATACCCTATATGTTGGTGGTTTCTGAGAGGTAGGAGTTAGTGATTCAGCTCAAACCAGAGTTTTCTTAACCAGTTGCCATAAATAGAAAGAGATACATATAGTGATATATAATCAAATAAAAGGAATCTCCAGGCTCTACAGTAGTGAAAACAGAGGAAAAAAAGATTAAAAACTAAAGCATAACAGAATGCAAAGGAGTGTTTTAAATAAAACTTTATATATATTTCAGACCTAACTGGATCAAAAGCTTTAAAAGGAATAGAAATTCTGATCAAAACATACACCTGCTCCTGAAAAAAACAGATGGAAACTGAAGTGAAAGGTAACATCCCATGTTCTGTAACTTTGCTTATCGTTGTGCTAAGGCGGCTGTTTGCAGCCAAGAGTCTGTGACTCAGTAACCACTTCAGGTAATCTTGCAACACGGTTTGCTAAGACCAAGGCTGTACCTGCGTTGTGCTTCTGCTCTGGACTGTGGGTCGAGCTTTGAGTGAATTGGTGCAGATCACACCGAGTCTGTGCTGAGCTGTAACAAAACAGCTCCGCACATTGCCTGGTAGCTTGCCCCATAGTTTTAGAGCATCCGCAGTCACCTTTGTTGCTCTCCCCCAGAACAACAGGCTTTGAAACACAGCTGCCCTAGCCTTAGGGCAGTCTGCTAGGAATTAAGACAGAACGGTGAGAACCTTGCCTTGGATTTGTGGAAAACAAATTTGAATGTATGATGTGTCCAACAAAACATTTTACACATTCTTTGATGAAACAAATGTTGTGAAAAGGTTTTCAGCCAGCTCTGTTCTAGATACAATCGCCTTGATCCACTTCCCTGAAGTGAATGGAAGGACTCCCAATGTTGTTAGCTGACTCTGGATCAAGGCCAGCTGCTTCAGCCTTTTTGTTGACTTTGGTGGATCTGGCAACAGAGTCTGAATGAAATGCTCTTCACCTGCCTCTGCCAGAGGAACTGAAATAGCAAAGGCTGTCTTAAAGCAAATGGGGGGGAGAATTCAAACTTAATTCTCACACTTTCAATAAACAGTGAAAACTAGTTCTCCTTTAAATTATTTGTCTGTTGGACAATGGTGCATATTGGCAGAGGGGGGAGTGATTTTTCTTTTTCTTAGAGCAATGAGTGACACAAAGGAAGAAAAAATTCTTTTAAATCCATCAACTTGGACACCAAGTAATTAGTAAAACTACAGTAACCGCCAAGTTGAACGGCCCGATCATCAAAAGAAAATAAAAACTATCTATTGCCACACAGATGATCTTTTCCTCCCTTCAGGCATTTCTCAGACAATGGTTGCTAATTTGACAATTGTGAACATTAAAATGTTTGATGTGTCATCAAGAAGAGTAGCTGTGCTTTGTTTCTCCAGCAAGGAGGAAAAATTAAGCACTTTCTGCTCCAACTTGCCTACAGAGACAGAGAACCCTGTGTGTGACATCTGCCTCACCACTAAACATTAAAAATAGGCCACATACATACACACACACTTATGTAGCTGCTAGCAAAGGAAAGTAATAAACAACTTACTGCTGGCAGTATCTGCGACTGTGAAATTATGCTGTTGGGTAAGCTGTTCTGCCGGCTTTCCGTGGTTACTTCTGCCCAAGTGACTTGAAACCCTGTCATGGGCTGGTGAAGGTCTGCCTTAGATATCTTCCAGGAAAAATGACCAGTGATGTTACCTTCCTGGACAATGAAAGACGCAGATAGATTCTCGGGTTTGGCCAACACTTTGGGTAGAACTGGCACTATAAATTTGGAAAGCAAAAAGATAAGCTAAACTTCGAGAGATAATGTTCAATAATGTTCAATTAGTTCCACAAATCAAGGTCAGACAGAGCTCTCTTTCTGGTGTTACCCAGGACCCTGCCAGCTTTCTGCCATAGCAATTTCAGTGTTAACCAAAGCCTATCTTTGAAATGATCCGTTGGCATTTTGTGCCAAATTTAAACTTCAGATCAAATCCTGTCAGCTGCAGGCGACAGAAAGGAAAGCCTATATAGCATGTAAAGGCCTAAGTACCTCATTCACAGGCAACCATCCTGCTGCTCCTCTGTATTTCAGAATACCTGAGCCCCTGTTTTCAATTTTGGGACCCCAAGAAGACCCACAGAATAGCACAGAACTCCATGATGCAGGCGAAAAGTAGAATTCATGCTCTAAAACTGTGGAAGAAGTTAAAAGGGGCACTCTGATTAGGGGAAACATATGCCTGAGTTGCAAATGCACTGGAAAAAGGGTGTAATGCTGGAAACTATCAGGAGGGGTGGTCAGGAAATAGCAATGGTGGCTCTCCTTGGAGGCAGCAGGGACTCAAAGTGAGAGGGCCACCCTCTAGTGAAGAGAGAGGTGGCCAGGCTTGGCTGTGCAAAGCCATGGCTGACCTGACCTAGTGCTGACAACAGCCTTGCTTCAAGCGGATAGCTGGACAAGCTGACTCAGAGGTCCTTACCAACCAACATTTCCACGATCTGCAATTTTCCATAACCCTCTACCTATATGGACCATAGTGGCAACACTGTAAAAGGTGTAAGAGTGCCTTTATTTGTTATTTGAGAGCAGAATTAACCTAAACAAAATCAAACTGAAAAAGGAGCTTGCATCGGTAGCAAAACATTCAAAATATGGGTCATGCCAGCATAATTATGTTTACAATTATCATCTGTCATTATAATGAATATAGCTGGGAAACTTCCTCCTTACAAAAACAAAAACTGTGTAATAACAAATGTCATCATATGTTTATAAACAGTCCACTAAAATTATCACCTAATTGACAAAACAGTAATGTGGTAGCCAAAACCTACACTGATCTGTATTTTAGTTGATTTTTCAAATAAGCATTAGTCATGTTTTTGTTTGTTCTGAATCTTTCATTTCCCATTTTAGAATTGCTTTTAAAGACTTTTTTTTTTTTTTT